GGGTTTGACAATCTAGAGGCCCCACTGGGATTGGTGTACCTGACAGGTCCTGAACCTTCCACAGATGAATCTCTTGCTATTTTCTCTCTTTTAGTCAGCCCTAGCTGGGCTGTCTATTTTCCTTTAACCACAGGCCTTCATAGTAAATCTCATTTCATTGTCAGCCATGACTGTGGTTTACTTCCCTGGTCTGTCTGCTCACTTCCTGTTGCCATTAACGCTCAATATCTCTGTTGGGGCCTGTCTGCTTGGTCTTATTTCATTCTGTGTTGTGTCCTATCCTGTCCTCCCACACAGAAAGTTTGTCTGACAGACTAGCAGGGGCTGTGCCACTCTAAGAGCCTTCTGTATTTCATTCACACTGCCTGTTCATCTCCCTTCTCTTTCTGCTGAAAGGGGGTAGTAATTGATATTGGGACCCATCCATCCTCCCCTCTTAAACCCAGAGATCCAATTTATCTTGGTGAGAATGCCGACTGGCTTGCACCCAGGCCTTGTCGGTCAGACTTTGCCTGTTTTTAGTTGGCTGTTAATTAAAGTGCCACCATGAAAAAAAATCTACATGGGGGTGTGTGCGGCAATACAAATGGGCCATCTAATTCACACTTGACCACATAAATCAACGAAGTGGCTCAGTCTAATCTGACCTAGGCAGTCTAAATCACCACTCTGGAATGCAAGCACAGGGCATACACAGACTGGTCCAATTAAATCCATTTCCAACCATGTAAATCTTTAACTAGCTTAATCTGCATTAACCTCTGCGGTGTTAGTCACAAATGGCTTCAGAATGATATAGTCAATCACTGTGTCAGTCAGACTAAAGATGGAGGGTGAAGGCCATTCAAAAGAATCAGAACAATGTCAAAGCAGAATTGTATATTTTAATCCTATGATCCATCCTTTAAACAGACAGGTTTACCGTTTAAAATGTTTCTTTAATACAAGTGATCTAATTGAAATTGCAGATTTGCACACATTGATGCATATAGTCAGTCGAGTACAAATGAAGTCACATCACACTGAGTCATACTCAGTTTGGCTCAGATAACTTTTAGATGGTTCAATAATACTGTATATTATATAATCCTAGTGTAATTAGGTGGCAGTATCTTTAACGAAGCAGACAGAGGCAGATGCTGTAGATAGATGAGAAGGAAGGGAGGTTCTGTAGGTACATATCTGTGTTTTAGAATAGTGAAGCAGATAGTCTGTATAACAGTTATTTTTGGCAGAAAACAGTTCCAATCTCCTTAAAAGTACTAGAGCCACTAGTGACTCTAATGAGACTCAAAACAAATTCACACCAAAAACCACTCCTTAGCACTCTTTGACCCTCCCGTCCTCTTTTCTAAAGCATTGACATGAACTTTGGATGCCTGGAACAAAAGGCAGCTTCCAGTAGAACTCTGGTTGGTACTAATGTCACACAGAGTAGTTTACATCACACACCCAGTAGCTCAGGTTACTCCAAAATTAAGATCATATTAATTCAATGCTAGGTCACTAATTTCACACTTTCATAGGGGGGCAGGGCAGCTAAGCGACGTCCTTTCCCATTATCACTTGATATAGCCTGTCAGACAAATGTGCAAAATTTTAGTTAATGCACCTATATGTTTCTCTTTGATAAACTTAATATACTGTATACTGTCTCCTCCATTTATGCACTAAGTAATTAATACATTCAGTCAAACTGAGTCAAATTAAGTCAAATCTATTTACAGATTTACATGGTGGGGTATTGCTTTCCCTAATGCTGGTCCCCACCATATAAATCATTGCATTTTTTATGGTGACTGCTTGGTGTAAGGATATGGTGAGGTTAGGTTTAGGTTATGGCAGTGGTTCCCAACATTTTTTGCTGGACCCAACTTTCTGTGGGTAAGAATGTTTTTGAGTCTCAAACCATGCACTTGCCATGCCACTTATATTTAACCATTGCGTGTTTTCTGTTCTAGTGTATTTGTGGTTTTGCATTGTGTGTGTTTTCTCAAGGGGGGGCACCAGAGATCACAAGAAGGTTAAATACCTCCTCGTCCTTCGCTGTCAGCTGGCTTCACCTGGATGGGCCGGTTCATCTGAAGAAAGAAGTAGAAGAGAGATAAAAAAAAAGAGAGAGAGAAGGAAGAGAAGGAAAATCCCAGATTAGCACAAAACAATAGGAGCAAGAGCTACAGTATAGTATGTGAAGTGGGAAAAGAAAAAATGAAATGTGGCAGTGTTCCTGCTGGTAATGTCCTGAGTTTGTCCTGCTTTGTGAGCTAAACACAAAAACCAAATGGTGACAATGCCATAAAAGAGATAAATCTGCAATGCTCCATGCCGGCATGTTTAATTAATCCAGGGCATTGTCTCTAGAGATGCTTGAATTCCCCTCACAGTTCAGCAGAATGAGCACTTTTCAATGACGGCGCCACACTGGGTGTCAGATGGTTCTTGGAGATTAATGCCATTACATCAGCCACTCCTTGCCCCACAGGAAAAGGTCTTTTCTGGCTGACCCTTGGTCTTTGTGTCCCCTCCTGGCTCAAGACTCCTGGTCACCAGTTATAACCTGCTCATCCCTGACCATCAGCAATCCCTTTTTCTCTTCCTCTATTCCTTCCTCCACTCTTCTCTCTTGACCTAGAGGCCCTTTGGAAACTTACAACAAATATGCCACTGGTCTGTTCAGCCAACCCTAGCCTGCCCCAGCCTCCTCCTCCTGGAAGCTATTGAGCCAAACAGCGTAGCTGTGAAACCGCTACTGAAAGGTTAACAGTCGGGAATCGATAAACAACCTTTGAAGATCCATTTCATAGTGAGGTGAAAGCAAAACGTCGCCAAGCTAACATAAAAAAAAAAACCTTTAAAAACTGCCTGCCGTGAATAAAAACTCTCCTGTTTCCCTTTGCTCCCCTGACTATGGTTTCATTTTTTCTCACTCCCTGGAGTTTGAATATGAAAACAGAAAAACACTAAATCTTGTGCCTTCTCTGAAACAGGAATAATATCCATGCTTTTCTCTGTGTAAAGGGTGTGTGCTCGGGGGCCTTGCTCGAAGACCCTTGCCTATTGAGGCTACCCACACATGCCATATTTGGCATTGTGTTTTATATTTGGCATCATGTTCTCCTGGCTTCAGTGGGCAGTTGGCCTATCTTTCTAACTAGGCCATTCGGACAGGTCCAACGTGTGAGTGCCAGTGAATGGCACAAAATACTGCCCACCCAGATCAGTCAGCGAGGACAGCACAGTCAGGGGTGTTGGGCCCTTAGGCAATGCAACACTTGACAGCAGTTGACATGAGCCCAGAAGACCACAACCAAATATAGATCTACGACTGGTATACATGTATAGACAAGCGTATACATGGCGACACCCTGGGGATGTAATATATTCTCCTAGCAGTATGCTGTGACACTGGAACAAAGCTTAGAGAGAGGATGGATGCATCACAGAGATAAGCACGTGAAGCCATACACACACAGGCAAAGGCACAGTAGCACTCATACAAATGGACCTGCACACTCATGCTAAATGATCGCCACACAGATATAACATAAATGCTAACTTTTTATATTTAAAAAATGAAGAGTAAAAGTAAATATGCATCAGTTATTGTTATTTTTCCCAAGGTGGATAATGTTGATAATGTTTGGCTTTGCAGACACTAACAAAAACACCTTCAAATCACATTGTTCACAGACCTTTCCCATTGTAATGTTTCAGGGAATGTTATGTAGTTAGAATAACCAGGGTCATATATTCAGTTTCTGCAGCTGTCAGAGTCTGTTGAGTTGTGAAGGCCTTCTGACTCACTGCTAGTGACTGTAAAACATCATTCACATGCCAGCAGAACTATCTTATTGTACATGTCCTATAACAATTATCAGATTACACTAAAAGGGAAGTAGAAGTGACTAATGCTTCATTTAAGCCTAAACAATGCAGAAAGAAAATTAAGGCAATTTCCTTATGTTCTCAAAGGGGACTGTGAGTCCAAATGTTTCAGCTGACACTCTGGGAGGATGAAGTGAATATACCGTTTTCTTGGTTTTTACATGTCTGTATGGCCTTAAACAGCCAGACTGGAACTATTTCTGTTCTATTCTATTTTATTCAGGCTGGATAACAGCCATCGGTATTTCACTGAATATGTTTACATGTGTCTTAGGTAAAGTTCAGGAAGGGTGAAACAGTATGTGAGTGTGCAGTGGAGAGAATTCAGGTCAGTTGGAGCATTGTAAGCAGTAAGTTTATGTGTGCTCTGTGTGGTGTGTGTGTGTTGATGGCAGCTCGGTTTGGGGGCAGAATTTGTCTCACATAAGAGGTTTAAGGTAGCCTGAAGCCCCAAGATCCCTGTCCAGTGATCAGTCAGCTTCCAGGTCTTAAATGGCAGCGATTGGTCAGGAGGCTTCATTAGTAGCCCCTGAGCCACTGCAGCAACAAGAGTCATTAGACAATCCAGAAGTACACTTGGGGTTGCTAGGGAACCAAGCGGAGGTGGCCGGCAGGCAGGCCAGGCAAGCTGGCCGTTGGTCTGCGGGCTCTTAGCCAGCCAATTGGCACTCGATTCTTTCTTCTTGTTTCTTTACTTGGTCCAAGGAGGTCACAGTGTGAGGGGAGGAAAAAAAGATTTCTCAACTCCTACCTTCCAGCATGTCCCACTTTCATGTCCCTTTTTAGTGACTGTGACAATGAGTTTTCAGACTCAGTCTGCTGCCACTTCTGCTCCAGCTTCCTGCCAAATTATGGAGTTCAGCATGATGCCAAACTATAGAGTTGTGGTGAGTAGCGCTCACATACATATGGCAATAGATAGCATGCCTGCTTCTGCAGAATACTTTGTAGTGTTCTCTACATTTAGTTTCTTGTGCAAACTGAGGCAATATTTTTAGCACATAAACTGACTGCACAGAAATCTTGAAGCTGACTTTACTTTGATCCTCTCTCTCTTTCTCTCAGACACACTCACACGTACACACACATAGACATGGACAGAGGCACAAAAAGTCTTGGGGCTCAATAACAGCAGGTGGCTTAGGTGACATTTTAATCCCTTATTACTGAGTGCAGGATTAGCCAACAGATCAAGGCAGAGTTAATTATATGAATTCATCAGAGGCTGGGCGAAGAGGCAGCCTGCTTTCCCCTCTGGGGCAGGACCCATCTCCACCCCATCACCCACCCTTTGCTCACACACATACATACACACACAGTGACAAAGAGGACAAGTGACATTCTGTCTGTCTCAGAAGCTAGCTACTTTCTTATTAGCATTGCAGCAGCAGAAAGCTAAGATAACACATACAGTGAAGCCTCTAGAGATGCTGTAAGACAAATGACATCTGCTACTTTCCCGCTGGGCCCCGGAAAATGAACTGCACAGACAGTGGAGAAGACGACTACAGGCTTTTCCATCCTGCAGATGTGTGGCTGCTGAGGCTGATAGGACTTCAACACCTCCCTCGTCTTGCTTTATCTTTGTCTCTCCCTGCCCCTTTGGCCTCCAAAACCAATATGCTTCCCACCACAGCCTCTTAATGGGTTGATCAATGCTGACAAATAGGCAGCTCATGCTGTCTTGCCTGGGAACTCACAGCTCTGTGCCCATGTGTTGCTGCACTTAGAAAGGCCATCTCTCTTTCTCCTCATCTCTCTTCTTTTTTGTCTTTTCTTTCACTCACTTTTTTCCTCTCCACAGTTTCCCCTCCTTCATGCTCTATTTCCTTTATGTCTGTACATTCATTTTTTCTTCCTTCTAATCTCCAGGGGCAAATCTATATTTTTCATTCTATTATGATGAATACAAGCCAGATGAGGTCACACAGGGGTGGAGAACCAACAGTGTGGAAGAGAGGAACTTGCTTACAATTTCTACTAAAGGCTTGTAAGTTTCAGAGCATACGCCCCTGTGTGTTTGTGCAAACGGATGTCTTTTTCTGGTGGAGAGAAAGAGAGACAAGGACATCACTGATCTTTGACCATGTTTGACCATGCTATGTGAATACCACTGCTCACAATGCAGACCCCCTAAATACAGAAAAATGCTAAGAACCATGACATGAGTGTGAGTGCTTATGGTTTTTCTCCACTGTTGAGCCACTTTGACTGCAACACTTACACTTCTTCTATCTTTCTCTCTCTCTCTCTCTCTCTCTCTCTCTCTCTCTCTCTCTTTTGAATTGGACAAAAACATCCTGAACTGTAAATTAAAACATTTACTCTCTCTACCAGAAGGTAGACAGTTAAAAATACTAAAGTGCCTACACTGTACAAGTCTGAGAGGTATGTATGTGATTAACCATCCAGCTACAGTCCTATTAGTTTGTAGCTCTCATTTTAAGGACATACTTATCAACTATGACAACCTAACATACAGTATACCTTATGCTGTAATAATCGGTGCATCAGACAGACCGAATAACCAGAGACTTACATCTGATGTCTTGTGAGTAGTGGGCACTGAGCTAAACCCACAAAAGAATCTGCTGGTGCTGCTGGTGCAATAAATGTCAAGTCACCTAGAAAAACACAATGAGCTAAATGCATACAATATAAAATGAAAGATGTTTTCAAATGATGGTTTAACAAAGTTCTTCTGAGCTTTCCACCTTGGGCTCCATGTTAACTACACATTTACAACAATCAGCGTAAGTGTTGCATCATGCAACCAGACACACCTGCTGTTTTTGTTCTGTTTAGTGAGCATCCATGGTTGACAGTCACGATGGGGTAAACTGTGATCAGAGGGTGTGGTGATGAAGAAATACCTTCCTAGACAGTCACCTTACTTATCTCAAAACCTTTAAACTTTAACCTCTGCCAATCACAATGGCGCATAATTAATATAGCTCACGAAATGAAGGGAAGAGTCTAGACTACTTTGTCCAAAATATTCTTATCCAGTATAGATGCGGTGGCCAAAGTACTCTACAGATATAGAGTTTGTGTCCACAAATAGGATGCCAAAGGAACATTCATAAGATGAATTTAAGTTTGTAGGCATATAGAATATACAGTCACCAGCTTTGTCCATCTGTAATTGTGCATGGTTTGTGGTTGGTTTTACAGGATAACCAACCATATATGTGTT